TACACATCAACATTCTCAACAAGTGCAAAGACCAAAATACCCCTTCACTAACACCACTAACAACATTCATCGAGATCGCAGATACGGGGAACCACACGTACTTACACCAAGAAAGTAGAAGCCCTATAGAATAGATTTAGACAAATGGTACCATGTGGTATTGCAGGAATAACATATCTAAATAACGAATCTCTTGCAACAAACCATTTGGACTACACGAATAGGTTCTTTATATAGGTGTAAAATCCCCAAGACATACTGGAGTTCAAGACTAACCAACTTAACTGAAAAGCAGAATACTAATTCAAAGCTGGAAATCAGTTAGGTTATTCAAACTGCAATAGTATTAACAAGGAACAGGATACAGGTACTCTGATCAATCTCATCAGCATTGGAGTGGCTCACCAACTTTTGTGCTATGATTAATCTAGAAATTACTCTACATATGACATGATCTGAGCCTGGTCTAATGTAGAAATTTGAAAACTTTTTTCCACCACTACACAGATAGCTGACCAGTGTTGTCTCCTCAGTGCATCTCCTACCACCCAAGATGTAGCTTGATGGCTGCTCCCTGGGTAATCCAGGACCTTGGGGTATACATGGAAGATTTAGGGATTAAGAGGAAAGGTTCTACTAGCTTATTTAGGGAAATTTGGAGTTGGAGACTCTTCAGACAGAGATGAAGTGTCTTACCCAATGTCTCTGATTGAAGGCATCTGACCCACAACTGTGGAAACCGAAAACTACTTACTACCTATCATTAGCTGGTTTATATATGGAAAAAAAGGACCTTGGATATTTAGGCACCCTTTGAGAGAGGAGAGAGAGCTTAGACATCCTGTTCAAATAAATATGGACATCTGCAAGCTCTCTAGCAGATAACCAAAAACAGGGAATAGGGAGGTCAAATCCGTATTGACTAGCAGCCTTCCCTGAATAGCTTTTTCCATTCATTAATCATCAAGAAATGTACTGTGTTTTAGCTTGCCTTATTTGACATGTGGGTCTGTTCCTGCTTATATTAGATAGCTTGTTCACAATTAGGAAGAAAAGAAGGGGATGATGAAAACCAAGATGGGGGATCCTGCATTCCTAGAGTTTCACATAATTGACCAATTTCAAAATCTAACTGAAGCAAGGCACATTTGAAAGGAACTGAGATAACAGTCCAAGAATAATGTTACTAATGTAGGACTGGTACTGGTTCTATGAAATTAGGCTCAAAGAAAGGCACTGCTTTGCTGGATTGTCAGAGAAAGTGATTAAAACAATAAAACTTTGCAAGAATTGAGATTTAATGCATAAAGGTGGAAAGGCTATGATAGGTGGGGGAAAATTTTAGGGATGGGATTTAAGGTTTTTGGTGGCTGGATTAACATTTATATTGGCTTAGATAGACTGGATTTGTGACCACCCCCAAATTTTAAAGAGAAAAACGAGAGAAACTGATAGAACTAAAAACTAGGTTGCAATTAAAGTGATGAAGCAGAGATTAGAAATCTAATATAGGAAGGGAAGTTTACTTGCAGTTTTGAATGGATTCCAGGTGTCAAAATCTTGACTGAATAGTATTTCTAGATAGAAATCCAAAGAAAAAGCACTTTCTACATCTATTGAATACTTATTTGATTGCAATAAGTTCTCAGCCCATCTACTACAGATTAATTCTCCAATTATCACAAAATGATGTAGTAACAGTGAAAGCATATAGAGAATTAGTGAGAGAATAAAGGAACAAGAAAACAAATACCTACAGAAACCCAAGCCTAAGATCTCCCAAAAAAATAATCTTCAGTCATTCACTTCACTAAACAAAATAATTTAAAAACATACATTTAAGTATTACTTAGTTCTGCCACCCCTTCCCAACATATCAAAATACCCTGTATAATAAAAGGCTCAAATAACTCTTAACACTGACCTGTAGACTGACACATTGACCCAAACAACTGAAAGGAAACAAATAAGGACTAGAGGCTTACTAAAGACACCATGGCCCAAATTCCCCTCCCCCCCGCCAATAAAAAACCAGTAAAACAACTATAGTACCCCTACCCATAAAAATACTCAAAAAATGCAGAAAGAAAAAACAGCCTATTGTCCGTATCAGTTACCTTTATAGCTCTCTTGACATTCCCCTCCATTGTACCATAAGGCTTTCTCTGTGGTATCCTTAGCAAGTATGAGATGTCCTCCAAAGATTCCTAAAGGTAAAGACATCCTGCAAACTGATTAGAACTAGCAACACAAAAAAATTGTATAACAAATTTACAAACCTGGATTGCTTTCATGTTAGCATTTGCTGGAATAGCCCTTCTCAAAGCAAGCTCTCCGGTTCTTGGAACCTTTGTATCTGGTGAGTAAAGCACAGCTTTTGCTGGAGAAATGGACCATGAATTGTAACCAAACAAAGGCAGTGGAGATGAGATTTGGACAAAAATGAGAATTGCAGCAATTGTGCTCTCGAGTTTCTTCACACCATGGAACAATGTTGAAATGTATGACATTGATGGCAAATTACTGATGTCTGAAAATTCCTGCATGATGAAGAATTCAGAATCAGAAACTGATTTTTGAGAGAAAAGAGTTCAATGGAAGGTAAAATACAATGCAAATTACCAGGTTTGCATGAGTATTAATTAAAACTGAATTAAGGTTGAGTACTGAATTGCATTTAACAATGCACTAGTCACATCAATGATTCAAAATAGGTCATATGTTCTTTTGTAAGAAAACAAAACAATGATGGGAATATAAGTCAACACATCAAGTAGCATATCTACACAAGACATAAACAAGAAGTGTGTTTAACACCATTGTGGGAATAGTGCTTGTTGCATCTCAATATATGCCTTGAAAAACATGTAGTTCCAAAATATGTCTCTTAACCTTACACCTTGTCTAGCTAGCCCTTCTGCTGGTGAGTTGGCAGATCTCCTGATCCACTTCAATGAAATTTTGCATTAGATATCAGAGCTCTAATTTCTCTTACAAAGTGTCTAAACCTACCTCCATGGACCTTATTGTCTTCTAAAAATCAGCACTTACCCTTTAGAGTCTCCTCCACTTGCTGAAATCTCGACATGGGGATGAGTCACAATCCTTCCACTAGAGCCTTGATCTTTGGATGCCAAAAGATCATGGTTTGGTGTCAAAGCAGTTAGTCACCGAAATCTTATAAAAAGTGTCATATAAATGAGTTAGCTTCCAAAGACTTTGATGTGAAAGAGAATGAATTTGAGAAAGAGGAAGTGATATGGGAGAGATGAGAAGTGAGTTGCATTTGCATAATTGGAGGGGGGAAGTATGAGACAGAGAGGTAGTGTGGCAAGGTATACATTTCTTAAATTATAAAAGGGATCTTACAAACATGTATATTTTGGTTCAATTGCTCATGACTGATTCTTAATTTACTGAAACACAATACGAGCAATTTCCAAAATCTGACTAATGGATAGAAAAGTATGTGAACATTGCCATAGTTTCCATATTACTAGCTGCACCCTGACATGTAAAAGGCATCCAATTCCTAAAGAGTAAAACTTATTGGTGATTTTGTCCTACTTGGATGTGTGCCACATTGACACATGATACACCTGATTGAATAGTTCTTTAAATGAAGGCTGTGTTAGGTCTTACAGCTTGAACCTACTTATAATTTAAACGAGATTGGAATTAACCAACCCAAAACCATCTAAAGAAAATTGAAAGGTTCACGTCAATTGGTAAATGGGATCAATATTGCAATTTTTAGACCCTGACCATGATACATCTGATTTCAGGTGAACAGAAACAATTTCATTCTCCACATCTATCGATAAGGTTACAAGAAGGACCATGTTAAGCCAGTATGGTCTGTCAGAGCATGCCGGTGTATCTTAAATCCAATCATCAAACTCAGATTACCTTCCTATTTTTCTCATCCATGAAGTATAATAACTTGAAATCATAAGAAGCTATATTGAATTCAGAAGGGATGCATTTCCTTCGCATAATTCCAGAAGACGCAGTGGAGGAAATATTCGTTGAATGAAAATATAAGTATGAAATAAAATTTAAATCACATATTTGTCCCTTTTTTGGACGGCTTCAGATTTCAACTTGATACAAAAGTTCAGCCATTGACAGTCAGCTCGCAACCAACATTAACGGGATTCGCCATTTTGCAACCATTTCACCAATTCACAACAAACAGTAACGAACTTATCGATTAAAAAAAGGAAAAGAAAAAGGCATCCAGTCCCAGCTCTTACAATGTAGGAGTAATTGAGTGATTATTTGTTCTAGAAATAGAAACTAAACGAATATCAATTCCAGAAAACAGAATGGGAAAGCAGAACCAATGTTATGGTGATTCAACCGACCACTGAAGGATTTTTGGCAGAAATGCAGCGAATTACGGAACGAGTAGCTTTCGTTGTGTCAACTCCCCGAGTCCGGTTAAAGCGAAACAGATAATGTATTGGATGAGAAGTTTGTCTTCGAAAGGAAGAAGCAACAAGAGAAACGGGAGCGTTTTGGTGAAAATTAATCGAGGAGAACAGAGACGCCATGAGAGGGGGCTTAAGTCGTTGCAGAGATTTTGGCGCGCCTCATCCAGAGCCTATCGACAACTCCACGGTCGCTTTTGTGTGGTTGGGAAATCGAATTACTACAATGACCCAACCACCTCCAATGCAACACAAAATAACGGCCTCTTAGCGCTCACCAAGTCACCAGTCACCAGTCATGGTCTTAGTCTTACCATGGGATATTCATCGGGCTGTTAATGGGTTGGGCAGACCACATAAGGCTCAAACAAATGAGTCAAATGACGCGAGGATAATGATGTCTTAGCTCGGTCAGTTAAGTTTCTTGTTTTTATTATATTATCTATTATCTATTATATATACTAAGGCAGGAAGGGTGTTCGTTAAGAAGACGTGGCTTTTCCTTCTCGCAGGATAAGGTATCTATACGTGAATTTTTTTTTCGCGTGCGAAAATCTCTTCTAGCAGGAATGCAGAATAAGGTATCCGCACGTGAAGCTTTTCATCACGTGAAATCTCTTCTTTGTGTGCTGTCTTCTCCGACTCTCGTCTATGGCTACCTTCTCCGCCATTCTCCTTGTTCCTTGTTTAAGATGTTACCTCCTCCGCAGTTCCTTGTGAGTTGTCTTCTACGGCTCTCGTCCATGGCTACCTCCTCGTGTTAAAGAGAGAGCTATCCGAAATTCCCAATAATTTATTGCATGAAAGATATGTGTCCGAGTGAAATTGATTGCTTTTTCCCTGGTTCCTCGCAGCTTCCAATACCGTCCTCTCACCTCACGTTGCAGTTTCCAGTATCGTCCTCTCTATTCTTCTGTCGATCGTCTTTCTCAACTCTGTTCTCTCGTCGATCGTCTTCTTCTCAACCTTCGCTCCCAATCCTCTCTCTCCCCTCTGTCTCCGGATTTTAAATCTTCAGTTAATGCTCGGTATTATACTATTATACTAAACCCCATTAATACAAGGAAAAATTGTCACAGAGATTAGTTGTGAAACTCGTCAACTTGGGATTTTCCTTTTAATTAAGCATGGCGGGAGACGGGAACTCTTAGCATAGGCAGCTCGATCAGACACCCACATGGGCAGTTGCTGTCATTTTTAACTCTGTAATTAGAGTGGGTTTTCTTCTTCTTCTTTTTTTTCTCTCATGTTTCTCACTTGAGTTTCTGAAATTAATGGGTACCTTTTATTTTTTACTGGTTTTCTGGTTTGTATCTTGAGTTCGAGTTGCATAGGTTGGCCTTCTTTTTTTTATAATCATTTTAGTTTTTTTTTTGTTTGGTCTTTTTTTTTATTTTGTCTATATATACATGGTTTGAGGATTGTTTCCATAAAGAGAAGAAACCGATGTTTTTCTACTTTATAGTTAGTTGAAAGAAGACTGTCTTGGGATTTTCCCTTTGAACTTGTCGAGTTGTGTACTTGCTCTTCTATTTTAGATTTTTTTTACCTTGGTTTTGTAGTCTGTTTATTTCCTATCTTGCTTGGTTTTTGGCATGTTTTAATTTCCTTGTGTATAGTATCTTCTGTGTTTCCTTATTCTTTCTTGTTTGTTGTCGAGGAGAAGGAGATTGGTAATTCGTAATCTCTCCTTTCTGTCCTTTGCTCCTTTCATAAATTGACAGAATGTACAAAATTTCTTATTTCCCTACCTTTTTCAAATTTCAACTCAGTTTTCAGGTGCCAAGTGTTGTTTCACTTTAGTAGCCTACCTGGTTCTTTTATTTGCTGGTCGTGGTTTCTGTGTTGTTTTGAATTCAGTGGTTTACAGAAAAATGCAAGAGGTCTCTGTTTGAAGCTCTTGAGAAGATTAAAAACGGTAAAAATTGCTGTTGAACAGGGGAAGAAAAAATGCTTCTTGACTTGTGATGTTTCTATTGTTCTTTCAAGAAACTCTGTTTTCCTTTTCCACTTTTGGACATGGGTGGTTGGTGCATTAATCACAATCACAATGGCTGACCAACCGTATTCTAGTGAATCTGCAAAGCTTATTGATGAAGGAGAATTTGGCCCGACCTCGCAATCATCCGACACGTGGCAAAAACAAGCAACTCGGGACAGTAGAGCGCCCGAAGCGAGCACCGAAAGCAAGTTCATGCTCACTACTGAGCCCGAACTCCACCAGACCGCTCTAAAAGGAGCCCGAGCTCCCTACCGAGAGTCCGAGCTCCCTATTAAGAACCCGAGCTCCCTACTGAGAACTCGAGCTCCCTGCAAGGAGCACGAACTATGTTGGGCCCCAAGCCTCACAAAGCTGTGACCCGAGCTGGCCCATGGCAGCTCGG